GATGCTAATGAGTGCGGATTAAATTGTTTCTAATAAAGAGCATTTTTACTCATTAACAATGCCTACTTGATGTGATAATCCCTACTAGGATACCTGTGCATTTCGCACAATAGATACGTGACATAAAGTGGTCATATATTGTTACTGGATATCTAATATAAAATATAATATAAGTATGCGCAGAACAGCATATTTATTGTATTTAAATGTAAATTTTTATTTTAGACAAAGTATAAAAAAAAATATATATATAAATAAAAAAACAAATAAAATATAAAATTATCAAAAATGAAAAAGTAAGTATTGACTTTATTGTAGGTAGATTAGTAATAAATTACAGCAAATCGTTTTCACTAAAGTTGATACGCCAATCAACCCCGCCCTAACAATCCTCAAGTCCACTTCTGGACTCTCAGGAAGATATGCTGATTTAAGGTCCGTCATCAACTAAAAGACAAATAAATGATATGATTTTTTTTTTAGCCTAGTTAAAGCCTAGTGTGGGGTAGAGATAAGCCCCCCAGCCATTATAGAGTAAAAGTGCGTAATAGCACTAACTCAATAAAAAGAAGAAGAAGAAGATGTGATTATCTTATACCGTTTTCATTTTTCTGAGTATAAATTTAATAATTCATATTTAAACTCATTTATGTATAAATTTTTCTAATTATTATACATATGTCATACATGAATAGAATGTAAGTGATAGTATTAAAGTATTACTGCTGCTAGAAAATAGCGAAATCAGTAGTTGTTCCCAAAATATTCAGAGATTTAACGTTGCACATTTGATATAAATAAAAGACACATGCCCATTTATTATTCCCCTCTTATTGGTCAAATAACTACGTTGGAGGAAACATCCCTCTACTTTAATTATCAACAAATGTTTAAATTAAGGATAGATACGTATGTATGGCTTATTCATCATCAGTTCCTGTATCTCCCACTGGAACTGGAGCTTTACACTAAAGTAGGGACATTCATTTTATTAACTGAATATTTCACTATTTTTATAAAATTTACTAACATATTTTAAATATAATAAATCAAAAATAAAAGTTGAATTATATTATATGTATTCATTCTATCATATGCTAAAGGGCACTATTTCCACCTTTAATGCGGAAGTATTTATATTTTCCAGCTTTTTTTTTTGCTCTCAAAACATGGAAATAGTAATGTGATATTTTTGTATTTTTTAACACCGAAAAACAATAATAAATTATGCATGTTTGACCATAAAAATAGCAACAATAAACAAATCGGCTTATCCAGTGGATTCCTCTTTTATTCTTGTGCCCTTTGGTGCATATATTTTGGTCCCGATATGTGGTTGGCTCGAATAAATGTGCGCTATTGTAAAAATTGCATTTGAAGTGGCCGCTACATGTGTTGGCTTTTACTTCTGTGGGAAATAAAAATAATTAGAGAAAAAAAGATTTTTAATAGAATGATGTATACATATGATTATTGCATAAGATTAGAGTATATTGATGTACTTTTAAATCTAAAATCTAGTTACATTATGTAGTTATGATATTGACACTTGTTTATTGCACTTTTCTTATCGTTAAGATCTGATTTGATTTTCAAATTTGTTAAGTGTAATAAATAATAAAAATTTTATACAAATAATTTGCATATATTATGTATTGTACAATATACTTTCGTAACTGGAATTAAGGTTCCACTAGTAGTATTAAAAAAACACGAAACGAGGTATCGTAAGAAATTCTTGATCGGATTTCAGTTACAGATAATATAGGATTCTATCACGAATATAGAGTGACGCCTTAATAGAACCGAAAGATAAATTAAAGAAGCACAAATTAATGGCGTTTTCCATAAGTCATTTTGGGGATACTTTTTCAATCGACACTTATTTTAAAGCAATTTTGATTTTAGATTAGTAAATCTGTATAACACTCGAGATTAATGTATAACACTATAAATTTCCCTACAGTAGCAAAATTACTCTAAATTAACCGCTGTGTAAATAGCATATGTATATGAGAAAAATATAAATTTCTACAAACACAACTAAAAAAAAATTTAGTTTAATTTAAAAACGTTCGAATGGGCAACAAAATTTGACAGATCTAGAATAAAACCAGATTGAATATAGATTTACTAATCGAAAACGCCATAGGAATAGATGAATTCATTATAAGCAGATCGGTGTCATATTGTAGTACTACCAAAACTACATTTATGAGGTAGTACAGATAGATAGACATAGCCACGATTCGCTGATAGCTTCTTAAAGTTAATGACATTCAGACTTCGTGTATCTTGATAAATATTATCTTATCATTGATAAAATAATAAGATGGAATAAACCTGCCTATATTCCATTCGGTTCGCTTATCACATTTTGCAGATGAGAACATACAGACTTCTTGTATCTTGATAAACATTATCTTATCATCTGGGAGTTGATCGATCTCTGTGTCTTCTTGTCATAAGCTCAACATTGACAATAATTTTAGGTTTTCTCTCAATATCCATACATACAATGCTTAAATGTCCACATTGTATGTATGTCTCTGTGCTGAAATAAATCTTGAGTTATTTTTATTTTCCTGTTCATTTTCTCTATTTTTTCTCCTCCTAGAAGCGTCTTTGTGTGTTTAAATTGTGCCATATGTTAAATTTAGTGAACTTTTTTCAAAGATTAAGAGACTTTCTTGAACTGTTTCTTTCATATTTTTGGTTTCCAATATGTAAATAGCTAACAGCCTTATTATTGTTTTTAAAATGTTGATTTATTGTTATCGAAAGTAGTCTAGATGTCGCCAGATAGATGATAAAACTTAATAGATCATGTTTTAATCGACGAAAAGCAGTTCGGTTTTAGTAGTAACTAGCATTTTTTGCGGCTCTACTACCATTATCTTTGTTGATAATCGTACCAGAGTATGCTATCTACAACATCAAAGCTGTATTTACTAATTGATAAAATTTGCATATAGGGTATTTCGTTTTTCACCTTTAGGTTAAGGTATTCATCTTGACTTCAATTATTTTTAAAACAACAGCCTCAGTGTGGCTGCTGTAGTTCCTGTATTTTATATATCCATTTTCACCTTGTTTTTTCGGATTTAAGCATCACGGCAAGCATTATCAATCCAATCTGCATTTCGAGTAGTTCTTTTTTCACTTAATAGCATTGCAGTTTCAATTCTCCTTTACTGGGTTTGGTGTATTATTCCTTATTTGTAATTTTTGCCGTAGTATATTAAGGTATTTTTCTCAGATTTCTGCACTCTATATTCTTCAGTTTGTCTTCATCCCATTGATATTATTTCTTTACACACTAGCTGTCAGAAGAAAACAGAGACACTAAAGGTCAATCCTAATTTAACATGGTTTAGAACTATTTTTAAAGCGAATTACTACGGAGATTAAATAAGAGTATATCCAACGCAAGTGTTGATGGTCAAAAGACGGTAAACTCCCACAAACCTGGAAACCTGAAGCAAACAAAGATATGTTACGTTTGGGGGATTGAAAATGATTTTTATATTACAAGTTGCCAGGTACAATAGATAATTCGGTACTCTACTACTCAAAGCTCGGCCACTTGAATGAAACAATCAAGAAAAAGCAAACAGAATTAAGAGACAAAACTTTATAATATAATATTGGAAGTATATGCTATTAAAATTCATGGCTTTTCAAATATCCAAATTCATTAATACAATGGATATTTATATGTTATCGTCTATGCAATTCCTCTCCCCCATCACATATCTTATTATATATATGTCCTTAAATTCGACAAATATTCGTATACTTATTACCTGCAACAATCCCAATACAAGATTCTCTATTTCAATCAGTTGGAACATACCTATTACATAAATTAGGTATACAACCGAGCCTATAAGAACTATTTCATAGAATATATTCCTAGACTTAACCTTTTACATTCTTTAAATTCACTTAATCTTAACATTCACTAAAATCTTATTGTTCTCCTTAATCAGGTCTTAGCTTAATTTATTTATATAAATGTAAACCCTTTAAAATATCTTCGCCTTCTCTTGACTACTGTGATGGGATTTTTGGCATTCGGTCCTCTATGGACAGGCTAAACTTCATAAACCTATATTTTGTGCATTACTAAACGATATTTTTAGTGGATTCGGATCTCACATTGACGCTATTAATTTCATATATTATACCATCACTTTCTAATTATGAAATGAGAAAAAGGACATTAGGAATTTTCCTTAACTGCATCTTACAATATATAACTTAGGGATTTCAATAAATTTAGCTCTGCATATTCTCCTTCCGTTTTCTGACTCCGATATCCATTCTGATCTCCAATCCATTCCTTCATTTCAAAATTTCTTACAGCTAAAGAGACTCTGATATCCAATCCATTTCTTCATTTCAAAATTCTTTTTAGTAAAAGAGCTATATTTGAATTTAACACTATATTACCTGCTTTCTATGTTATTGTATATATGCTTTATATCAAGATTATTTGCAAAAGAAAATAAAAGAATAAAAGAGAAAAGTCCTTAATCGCAAATTACTGCTACTTCTTTCATTAAATATATAATAGTACATAAAAAATCAGCTTAAATACATAAAGGAAATGGATTTTTTTGAAATAAATATGGATTTTTGGTAGTTTTTGGTATTAGAGTGGATATTTACCGATAAAACCTCCTATATATGCTATTACTAATAATCCAACAAACGTAATACAATATATAAAAAGAGTTAATATTTTATTTTTCATAACATATCATTCATATATTTATTCTATATTTCATAAACATCGTTTTTGATTTTTTATACTCAAATATATTATATTATATTACATATTTACAATTAGTGCATACATCACGAAATAAGGATTTACGCATCAAACAATTTTTTAGAACACCTACTACTCTTCCATGATATCACAATAGGGCATTATTTGTGCTTAATAAGCTTTGGTGTATAAGTCTGCCTTTCCAGCTCAATCAAACTTCACTCTATTCTATAATAACCATATCTTGTTCTGATTCTGGTTCCGGACTTGAAGCGTTAGACGAAAGTGTGGAGTCGTAATAGTCCTCTTTATCACGCTTCTCCCGTCGCTCACGCGCACGTCTATTTTGAAACCAAATTTTCACTCTTGTATTTGTTAGATCCAGGGAAGCAGCTAACTTGTTCGCGTCTTCGGCACTGAGATAATTTGAAACCCGATAAGCATTCTCCAAAGCGTGTAATTGTGCCGGTGTGAAAGGAATGCGTGGTAAACGCCCAGGGGTACGCTTCGCTGGACCACATCGCAAAGATCCTGTAATTAAATAATAACATTTTATGTATAATAAAAACGATAATTACAAAACATGAATTTAATTGTAATCTAGAAGATGGGAAAGAAAACTTACTTGGCAATTTTGGCGGATGATAACGTGTATATTGAAGCCAATTGTATAATGGTAATTGTTCATAATTTTGTTGCATATCATCAGTAGGAATATTTTGATTAATATTATTATAAGGATGATAGCTTTTGATTCTAATTCTCTGTATAACACCCACGGAAGCATTCGTACCAATATATTTCTCACCGGCACGATTTAATATATAATCAATGCTAAAATCTGTCATTTTTGGTAAGTCAAAGTTGTACTATTTATTTATTATTGAGATTTTTAAAAATTAAAAATATTAAATAAATAGTTTTCTAAATATTATTTTTTTCACTACACGATCCTGCTACTTGCAAACTGAAAGTTCGACTGTTGGAATATTTCCACTTGCACGCGAATTTTAAGGATCATGCGATTCTCTAACAGAATGCGCCATTTTTCTCTTATTTTCTTTCTCTTTTCAATTTTAGCAAAGAGGCAAATTATTGTTTGAAAACACGAATCTCAATAGTATTTAAAACCAGTGAGGCATTTTAATCTCTAAAATGGGCGTTACCCTCATCCAAACCGCAGCAGACATCATCAGGTAAGCAGATAGATTTCATTGATTAAATTGCTCACCCTAACGAGCTTAAGATTCGCAAGGGCAAACTCTAAGGTAATTGAAAACTGAAAGCCAACCAACCTACTGCCACTTCTTTTGCGCTAAACGTGCACTAGAGCAACTCAAAAAGGATACTCTTCCCAGGATTAAACTGAAAACATTGTTTCAATAAAAATGTATTGCCAAAAAAAAAAAAAATGAAGACTCATACAAAGTTTCATTCATGTTTTTTGTGTTTTTTTTATACATTTTATTAATCTTACTTCGTTGGGTAACCCATATAACTCGACGATGGGAAAACAAGTTGAGCGGTATATCCTAATATGTTTTGATTGATATATAATTGTTTTGAAATTGTTGACGCAATATTATACTAACATTCTGACAACCCCAAAAAAATATCTGTTACAAAGTTTTTATTGTTGTTATTTGGCATATGTTCACAATTTGAATATCATTACATGGAAGTTTATGGAAATTATTAACTGTAATCAATTTTATTTCTTTTCATTTTTAGTAAATTCAAAAGCTAATACATGAGTTCTTATTAAATTTTTAAAGTTATCATTATCCATAGTTTAGTTAAACGCTTAAAAATATATAAGTATATCAATTTGTACGAGGTTGGTTGCATTGGCAGGCCATCAAATAACTTCTATGTATCTCAATTAACGATTTTTCGCCGGAATCCCTAATATAGAAAAGTATAGCTTAAATCCATCACGTCGAATTTAGATAATTTAATTGGTATTTCGTCTTCACCGATAAACAGTCTGATGAACTGTCAAAGAAGTATCTACTTAAAAAGCTATTTCTTCTAGACCTATTTCTTCTGTTTTATGGTTTTTTTTCCTGCACGTTTCTACAACTTCTGCAGTGAGGAGTATACGCAGTTTCTCTGCCTGGATTACTATACAGCAATGACCAAAAAGAACTGTAGTAAGCCTTGCAGCATTCACGCGGTCGATTTTGATGAGTTTCTAGGATCTAGTTTTATTATAGATTAGCCATGTTAACCTGGGAGTTGTACATGACTTAAGTACCTTCCATATGTTATTGGCAAGCTAAAGAAAGTGGGTATAAGTACTTCTCTAGTGTAATATAAACCGGTGCAATCAGGGACGCATCCAGGGAAGCACCAGAGGTTATACGGTATATATTATAAAACCAACGAAAACATTAACTATATAGTTTATTTAAAGTAGAAAATTTTAAGTTGCATCTACAACGACACAACCATTTATTAAATATTTCCATAAGAGTTCTGCTCTAATGCAAAATAATGAGCAGTTCTGCTGGCTTGATCAACTTGTACAAATGAAAGAAAATATTACGGCTAGAAAGGTACTTAATTCGGTACTCGCAAATGGAAAACGTGGTAGAGGATGTTTACATCTTAACATCAACTGGTAGAAGGACTAGTTGAAAAACGATATGGGAACGCTCAGTACTACCAACAGGCGACAACAAGCCACTGATTGGACTGGCTACCGGATGCGGCCAAAGGCGATTTATGTCTGTGATAGCCATCTTACTAAGTAAGTAAGTGATACTATAATAACTAACTAAATCTAGAAAAGTATTAATTTCAGAATTGTTTAACAATTTGTTAAAGATGTTTCAAAAAGTGAAATATTTGAGTTCTTATAAAACTTCAACAGAATTTATTGAAAAATACAGATACCTCATGCTTTCTTTTTGTTATGTTGGTACACCCTTTCTTGACATATAGTACAAATTTGAGCGCCATCTGTCAATTAGTTTGTTTCCAGCAGCTCTTAATGTGAGACTAACATACCTCAAGTGCATTTAGCGATTTTTACTACGGAAAATTCTTGTTGTACGCGATTTTTTGACCAAACAGGGCACCACTGTCATCGCTCAGGCACCATATTCGCCAGATCTGGATCTGTGCAACTTTTTTCTGTTCCCGAAACTCAAATTGCCCTTTTGTGGTAACCGTTTTGAGTCGATTGAATCGATAAAAAAGAATTCGTTGAAGGAATTAAAAGCCATACTTTCACGGGCCTACGAAAAGTGTATGGAAGATTGGGTTAAGCGTTCGCATATTTTAAAGGAGATAAAATAAATTTGGAATAAAATTTAAATTTGTGTGTTTTATTTACAAAATCCGAGTACTTTTTGAGCAGAAGGTACATGAGTGTTGTGGCAAATATGTAATATATTTATGTTTAAATTTTGGTCTAATATTCTATGGTACACACATTCTCTAACTCGTATTATAAGAATTTATTTAAATTACATCAGTGCCATTAAAGAATTCTTTACCTTTACTTTTACTAATGGCAAGCGAGAGCAACTGGACCGTGGTGGCGAGGCACGTGGAGGCAGTACTACGTGCAAAAAAGAGGCGCCTGGACGCAGGTACAACAGCAGCGACGTAACATTTAATCTTACAATCAGGATGTGCATGATCTGAAGCAATACCTAGTGGTGGTTCTGGGTCATGTACTTCATCCTGGAAAGGGGAGTTTTTTCACATGTCAGCGATTAGCGCGAACCGTGCACTACCCACAGAAAGACGTTTTCTGCGGGTGTGTGTAGACATTTTTTGTTCCCCAGCCTCGAAATAAAAAAAAAAAAAAAATTAAAGAATTCTTTGGTTAGCAGATTTGTTAATCAAAAATAAGTAACCTTACATTTACAGTCCTTAACTGTGACTTGAATAATAAAATAATAAAATAAAATTAACTGTGACTTGAATAAATGTCAATTTACATAAAATGTTATGTAAATTGACTCCTATTTAAAACTGTCATTAATACGGATGATCTCAAAACTCATCTTATTATAAATATTGTATTTTCTATTAAAATAAACAGTTTAATAAATAATAGTTTACCATATATATATATAAATCATTGCCAAAAAATATCAAAAAATAATAATTTAGCTTGCATTATTTATATAAGCTACATAAGATCATTTTTGTACCCCAATTCTTTTGTCTATAATGCTGTCAATATTGAGCAGTTAGACAACATTTTGTGATCCTTAGCTCCTCGATACTACACCAGTTGCCACAACCTTCCACTCAACATACTACGCACTGATCACCTGCCCTCTGATCTACTACTCTCTATGAGTAACAACCCTCCCCACATTCTGGTCCTTCATTTGGACGTCATTGCCCACTCCTCATCTGTAATACCGTTGTATAATCGTGGTTACAGTAACCTAGTTGTTCTAACTTCATTTACAATTACCCACCTCTAAACCCGTAGACAATTTTTCTTTATGGCTTAGATATATTTATGTTACTTCATAATTGTTAAGCCTTTGAATAATTTACTTTATTTCTTTTCCTATATTCTCGAATGAGACTCCCAGCCTCAGATCTGCACGGTCCCCTGCTCGGAATCTGTTCTCCATGCATTCCTAAGAGTTGGTTTTAGTGGGTTCAAGTCTCACGCGATGGCTTTTGTCTCACACGATTTCCAACAATTTAATAGGTTATATAGGTTTAATAGGTTATAATAAATATAATATGAAAAGGTAAGTTGTGTACAACTTGATCAAGATCGATTAATATAAACCATATATATATATACCTATATATAAATATATATATATATATATATATATATATATATATATATATATATATATATATATATATATATATATATTTCAACATTATATGAAATCCATCGATAACATTATTATGATGTTTTTAAAATTAAAAGCAGTATCTATGTATAATTATAATTAAAAACAGAAATATGTATAACATTAATAAAATCTTGTGAGATTAGCAAATTTAATACAATTATAATATTTGTTTTTTATTTATACGTATTTTTGTTATAATTTCAGAATACATATCCTTACAACACATGCACAATCCTTTATAGAAAATTAAATTGCTTCGAGCAACTGTAAACTGGAATACATCTGCTCTGAGGATAGCCCATAATTGCTCTAATTATTCCTTAAATAAAAATTTGCCTATCGATTCATTATCGCCATCTCTGATTTGTAATTCTCCAACCACAAAGAAAATTTTCCGAAAAAAAAATGTTTTTAATCCTTCAAGTGTGACATATTTTTACTGTATCTAAAGTAAAACATCATGTAATTGGTATTTAATTTTGTATTTATTCAATTGAGTATCAGATAATTTTTATTATCCACATACTTCTGAATAAGAGAGACATAAGCACATAGAAACATATATCAACAATCACCACCACATAATTATTATGACACAAATTTATAAATGTATACATACCATATATATATTGGCGTGTCCTTCCGATTTATATTTTGTTGGGTAAACGAAAGTAATTTTTCCATTATTTCCATTAACAGATCGTCAACTCTGATAAGTCATCTGATACTTGATGAGCGGAGTTGTTTGTTACTTACCCGTTTGGGTGCTTCAGTTTGCATCACTGATTTTATGGTTAACCACTCGAAAAAAGGATGTATCACTTTCTATTTTATTCGCACAAAATTGGCCTCAGCTCATCTAATTGCTCACAGCTTTTTATTCGTCCTTTCGCATTTAAAAGGGATCAGTCTTGTTACAAATATTTTTTTTTTTGATAACTGCATGCAAAATAAATTTATTTACTTATTTTCTCATTTGTATATAAGTTTATTCATTCCGTTGAGAAATTGGATTAAAAAATCAAATACTAGTTTGTGTACTAATTTAATTTTAGAGCTAAGAATTTAATTTTGTTTTTAAAAGAATTTTTTTTAAATTTATTTATTTAAACATCAATTAGCAAATTTTTTGTTGCAATGTGTATTTTATAAGATTGTCAATAGTCAATTGGAGACTATGCGCCTGCATTAGAGACCCTGGATAGATAAAGATTCTTGTCAGATCACAACACTCACCTTGTCAAATTTAGACATAATTTGTAACTGTCAGCTACTTCAACTATAGCAGAACGAGCTCAGTACTACAGTACTCGTATCGGTGCAGACAGTATTGTCACAGCGTTTTAGAGGGGGACATGCAATAAAACTTATTCTAGCATCTAACGACTTTTGTCGAGTAATGCGTCTTCGGATGAGGAGGAGACTGTACTCTACATTATGTGTCAATGTCTATCATTAACTAGTCTAGTCTGTCTATCTATAATATCTGTACCTTACCTTTACAGAAGAAGATTGAAAAACTTCGAGCACCCTTACATATCTGACAACAGAGCTGTCCGACTTTAAGCTCACGAACATAATCAAGTTCATAGACTTTAGATTGGTGTCCTTCTACTGGAATGATGGAGTTGCACGTTTTCAGAAGGATGCAGTTTCTATACTAGTTGTTGGGACTTTTCAGTTCCGGCATATGAACAATATCAAATCCATATTATCACAACAAATGTCTGCCTAAGTGAATTTTGATGCGCAAGGATGTCACTCCAACCGAACATAAACTAACTGATATAAGTCATTATATGTTCTATAATTTTTACAAAAGCACAGCAGGGTATGTTTGTTGGAACTTAAGTAGTCGTGGGTATCGTAAGATGTATTTAAAAGTGTCTGGCTTTAAGCATTAAAAAGGACTATCACCTTAGGCCAATAGATCTAAATGGGTCCTAGGAATCACCGCTGTCATCTACTTACTGATCTATAATATCTATACCTTACCTTTACAGAAGTAAAAATAGATATAAATAGACATAATAAGTACGCTGTGTACACTAAGTACACTAAAACCAACTAATGAAACTTAATCTAAAAAAATTCTACCCATTTATCCGGATATCAATTGTGATAAATCAGATTACTATCGTCCTCGCATATATTTTAATTATAACATTGCCATTAGAACTTCTGCAAAAGTAGATTGAGAAGCAAGGTTGATTACAATGCAAGGAAAGATAGCGGTTTACACTGATGGACCCAAATGGATATAATCACAAGAGCTAAAGTGAGATTTTTAATTTTTATTACGTTTGCAATCGTGTTTTAATATTTTTCACAAGGTCCGTGATATGACAATAGAAATCGTGATCGTTGCTAGACCATCCCGTCCTCTCTTTTAATCCATTTATTCACTAATGGATTGTACTAACGGATTAATGCACCATGGACTATTACAACAGCTACTCTTCATTTCAGTAACATTTAATCAATTTTAATATTTTATACATATACCTGCATTTCTCTTTAGGACTAACAACCTAGCTTATACAAGAATACATAAATCTGTTACAAAGTGACCAAACAATAATTTTTTTTCCTTAATTTATTATTTTAAATCCTCTTCTGCATCTCTATTTACATATGATAAATAAAATTCAAATTTCTTGATGAACTGTTGAAGTTTCGTACGACTTAATTCCACATTTCCACTGCACATAGCATACAATTTTTGGAACTCAGCTTCCTCGGAATTTTTCGTTTTTAATTGCTTTTTAGTTAATAGGAAGAGATTTAACATATCGCTGAAAGCTGCCAACTTAAACTGTCTGGTACACATTAATTCTTTTGCGTCATTTTCCAGCTGTTCACGGCTTTCCACAAGTAAAGAATTAATACCATTAGGTCCATTCGCGCCATTACCAGTAGTCAGCGCTTCCATTTCAACAGATATCAAAGCGTCGTTAACTTCTTCAAAATTCGTGCCATATTTTAGCGTTGCACTTAAATTGACCAAATTGGAAGCGGCTTCAGTGGGATTTGTTATATGTTCACCACTAAAAAAACGTACTGTACACGCATATGCACCTAAAATATTCCAGAGATTATAGTGTAAACATGGAGATGGTTCTTTGGAACATAAAACAGAAAATTTAGGTATAACCGATTTTACAGTTGGTATTAATGTTGGCTGTTCTTCACTTTTGTTTTCTTTTGGTTCTAAAACCACAATTTTGGGTTTTTTTAGTTTTTGTTTTTCCACTTGCCACCAAGGCTTATAATCCGGTAATAACTTCATGATTTCGCCATTAGTAATCATTTTCTGAAATTCCTTTTGTTCGGCAGTTGTCAAACATTCCCACACGGCATCTGCGTCATTAATGTCTATATCTTGTAATCTAGTTGCTAAATCGTCATCATCACCATTTTCTTCTTCTTCGTCATTGTCATTATCGGATTGGTGTGGTTCATCATCATCTGAATCTAAAGGCTCTGCAAGTCCATCATCAAAATCTTTTGGACCTACACCGGCATCGAATTCATGCATTCTCTTAAGAATATCATATATTTTACGCATATCTGCTGGCGTTTGTGGCTGTGCTGAAGTGAGTTCATCTCTTATACATGTTTTATAAAACTGTTCCGAGCATTTTAGATGAGCATTTGATTTATAGCAATCCACCGAACAATATGGTACATTACATTTTGGACAAACATACTTGTATGGTGATTTGTTACATCTATAAATATTGACAATTTTTAAAAAATAATTTATTAATATTAGTAATAACTTACAATTGACAATTTTCTATATTGTTTGACATAATAATTTGTATAATATATTTAGAAAATAAAACTATACATAAAACAACAAAATACTTTTTATTTACTAGTGTGGATTTACGAACAGCTGATTTTAATTACGCTACAGTGATGGCGAAAAATAATGTTACAGTTTCTTGATTTTTTTGCATACTTTTTATTATGTACAGAATATACATTGTGTATACAACTCTATAATAAAAGTCGTACACAACCCAACAATCTGCGCAACAACAGCAGCTGAAAAATATTTGACATGTGTGATTTGTCGTGCTTTCCTACTCTATTTCATACAATTCAAAATTTGAAATAATTTTCTTTACAAGTTTTGCTTGTGACGAGTTAAGACGTGCGCTTTGTGCTGCTAGTGGTGGTTCAACCGGTCGAAACACGCGGAACTGCCTGCAAAGTTAAATTTTACCATATATTAGTTCGGTTCGGGATAGCTTCAAAATTGCGCCAACAGGAATAAAACGTGCTAAAATGTCTGAAAATTGCATCGTTAACGGTAATCACTACGAGACACTACATCAAGGACGTTTAAATATGTATAAATCAAAAGTAGCCGTGGTACTTGGCGCTCAATGGGGAGATGAAGGCAAGGGTAAAGTTGTCGACATGATGGCGTCGGATGTGGACATCGTGTGCAGGTGTCAGGTGAGTTCAGTACAATTTCAGTGTTTATCAAACATATGATTTTTATAAATAAATTTAATATTTTTCCCTATAAATCAAAATGTTGTTAATGTGAAATTTCTAAGTGTAATATACTTTGTTTTTATTTAAATTTTTTTTTTTTGTTGGTGGGCATTTATATTATTGCATCAGCATCTTTGCAGAAATTTTACTTGAAAGCAAACGTTTGTTAATATATCTTTTTTTTTTTTCATCTGTAATCATTCTTTTTGTGTTTACATAACATCATACATTGTATCGTATTTTCGTTTGTGCACAACAGCGTGCGCACAAAGTTTCACTCTCTTTGTCATTTCCTCGATTACACATCCGTCCTCTACATTCTACGTTCTATATGTGTACACACATTAGCGAGTGCTCGTACATTCAAGTATATTTACCCAAAATGCTTGGCTATTTACGTTTCTTATTGATAATGCGCTTGTTCTTGATGTTCTTGGACTTCACACACTCTTGCCCTTTTCTATTTCTTGGTCTATTTTCTTGGTTGACATTGTACGTTTTAAATTTTTCCGTTCTTCACAAAATATTATGCTCAAAATATATTCTATTTGATTATTCACACTAAAATATATACACAAAATTTTTTTTTAATATATTTCATATGTTTACACTAGTCTCTGCAGTTTTTGTATAATCTATTAGTAACCTATCTTCTACATCTGTTTGTAAATCTGCTTCAACTATTCGAAAACAACATGCAATATAATATGCTTAATCATTTGATAGATAAGGTATTTGATATCAAATAAAACAGCTGAGAGTAAAGCAAATAGTAACAGTACATCATACTTCAAAATGGCTCCGCAACTTAAGTCGTAAATCAAAGAGCATTTTAATTAAATAATTACATATATTAATTTAAAATTTATACAAAAACATGTAACCAATTCTTAATCATCGTAATTTTAACTATTGTTTGAAACTTTTGCAACCATGCACTATTTCTTCTCACAAGCTGTTTAATATTGATCTAGTACAATGAAAATGTAATAGATTTATTCATACTCGCATATTCCTTCATTACTATTAACAAATAAACGACTTCCATGAGACTTCCATTCAATATTGTTCGTAACAACGAATTAACAAAAAAAAAAATAAATAAATAAATAATTAGCAAGTAATTAATAAATTGAGTAAATAATTTGAAACTTATTTTTTCTTTTTTAGTATTAATGAAAATAATTTAATGGAATATTTAAAGAGATTCTCAAGGTTAATTTCATTTTGTATATAAACATTTTATTATGCAGTAATTTAGAAAAATAAGTAATTAAAATGAACTCAAAAATATTCGTAATGTTAAGTTTTCTTCTGAAGAAAAAAACAACCATACTTAAAAATCTCTCTCTTGGAAACAATAGTTTTTATAGTTTTATATTATAGTTATATTATATAGTTTGTTTTGTCAAAACGGATGTTAAAAATCAATTTAATATGCACTAATATCTCGTTTTGATTCGAATTGCGTTGCCAAGAAAGAAAATAAATATTAAACATGATATAGACGATGCTAAATATATGCAAACCAAGTATGCCTTGCTATCAAATCGCACTGTGTATGCTCAAGTATGCATATTAAATTTCTGTCTCTATACGTGTATGTGGTAAAATTACACCTTGTTTCAAAGTGTATAGTAAAGAGCATACTTGGTATGTATACTTGGTATGTATACATATAGCATCATCTATATCAGAGCTGTCCAAAGAACGGCCCGTGGGGCATATGCGACCCGTGGCTAATGTAGTGTGGCCCGAGTTGTGATTTTAATCTGCTACAATTACGCAAATTTTCTTTTGATGTACTAGTAAAACTACATTATTTTATTTTTATGGTATAACAAATAAAAAAATTTAAAATGGATAAATTAATAAAATTAAATTTAACATTATAACCGTATTTAAAATATTTGTCGAAAACAACTATGAACGTATATATTTGTTTCTGAGGCCTTCCAATGTGTACAGTGATTTGTATTGGCCCGCAATTGTATCTAGTCTGAACACCTCTGGTCTGTATCATGCTTTAGCTTTGACTTGCCTCGGTACTCGGTTTCGATTTGCGTCGTTTTTTAATACATGCGTACAGAGGGGATTCCTTGCAAAAGAGCGCTAAAATCAGCTGTTATTTATATGTTGTTTTATCGAACAATATTATCCTATTTTTGTAACTGTATATTCATTAACTCAGCAACGCGATCATTTAATAAGAACAAATATTGTAAATATTAATTATTTTGTTCTTAATTGTCTTGTATAAAAATTTTGTGTATCTTCATTATCTATATCAATATTTTTGATTATCTCATAATAAAAACTTACAAATTATTCGTTATTAAGATATTTCTTAGTAGGAGTAGGAGACAACCACCAAGCATATCTAGAGATTTTTTAGACCAGACTTTATTGTACAAATCCAAGAAAAAATTCTTGTAAAATTAATTTACAAATTGGATTAGTTTATAGTGAAAATGTACATTTAATGCTACTACATTTTTTTCTATGTATTTTGAACCTCTATCCTCTTTATTAATGGATAGATTTTCAAGATACTGGGCTTTGAAGTTTTTATATTTTTTTTTTGGGACGTGGTTGCACATATCGCGAGTTATAAATATCGGTTTGAGTCTAACAGGTTATCAAATGAAATATAATTTAATCTTCAATAATTGCCTATTTGTTTTTATCCAATCAATTTCGCAATATAAATGTTATAGACACATTTAATTATTTGATAAGAACTACACCAGTTAAAAAATAGTGTAAAAAATATTTGATTCAACTAATTGGGCCATCGAATCAAAAGTAACTTTATAGTATTAATTGATCAGTAAGGTTCGTCGTGTTTGAAATAAATTATTTATTTTGGGGAATTTTTTGAAAAATTGAAGAATTAAATCGAAGTATCATAAAAATTGGGTGTATGCTGTATAGATAATAGAGAAAACAGAGTATTTTGCTTAATCCATGGAAGACATTTTGGTTCGTCTTTCTTAAAAATTATGAGATTATGAGCAGCAGCATAGGATTCTTGAAAATTAGCTCTTCGCCACAGAATATACAATTTTAATGTAGTTTAACAGTGTGAACGATATAAGCGCAGCTAAGATCACGAAGAATCTGTGAAGAGTTCATTAGTTTTTTCCATTTACTTTTCGTTTTTTATTACAATATATTAGTGTGATCATTGACCGGTGGTTAATGGCATATTAGGGGTACTCCCTAAATAAAATTTGTCGTATCAAATCGTTGCATATAATAAGTCCAAAATAATATTGTGCCATAAATTGCACCTTGCATATTTTGAATTAAAATTGATTTGTTTATTGAAATATATCTTTATTTTAATAATAAATATATAGTTATTTTAAATCTAAATGAAATACTGCATAGAAGCGTTCTTTATATCTTGAAACGCAGAAGCAAATATTATAGTCAAACATTTGGAATAAAGAGTACTCAACTAGCTCTTTATTTGCAATAAATTTGCAACAATCCAACAAAGGTCATTCATAATTAATAGTAAAACTATACAATACAACACATTTATGTTATATACTATACTCTTCACGTTTCTTTGCTCTTGATCTTGATTAACGTTTTTCAAATTAATTGAAAGTAATTTAAAACTCATCGTTGGAAACTGTTTTTGGATTAAGATTTTTAGTTTAATTTATAATTGTTTTAAAGTGCTTATTTTAAATATTTTTAATAATATAAATATATAAATTAATTATAAGTATAACTCAATGCAAATTGTTAAGTTCTTTCTGTGACGAAATTTTCAATAAAATATCGGAAGACTCAACGATATGCAGGCACCTATATGCAATCTGGCTACTTTCCACTAAAAGGAAATCCAATATTCTTATTGAGATGCCCCATAGAGATATCAGTCTAATGGTAGGTTTACTTACAGGTCAGTACAAAGTAGGAACCATGCTAGAAGATTGAATCTCCCTTTTAAACATACCTGTCGTAGTTGTGAAGAAGACGTTGAAAGTGGCTCTCATCTACTCTGTCTGTCCAATATTCTTATTGAGATACCCCATAGAGATATCAGTCTAATGGTAGGTTTACTTACAGATCAGTACAAAGTAGGAACCATGATAGAAGATTGAATCTCCCTTTCAAACATACCTGTCGTAGCTGTGGAGAAGACGATGAAAGTGGCTCTCATCTACTCTGTCTTTGCCCAGTTAGTGCACGACGACGACTCAACATTCCCCTTTCTTGAGAATTTTTATCAATTACAAGACTTTGCACTAAACAACATTTTAAGTTTCCTTTTCTAGGTAGTTTTAATCTCTAAGTTTTCGTCTATATATGGTAACACAGTGGGCCAATACGCCTAAGTGGATCCTCTAGAGATCACCGGTATAATCTAACCTAACCCAAAGTATGACTGATTTTGATTCTTAGAAAAGAATATATTTCGCTTTTCAGATAATGATAAGTCATTATTCAATAATATCTGTTTTAATTAATAATTATATTAAATTACATATGTATATCAGTTTTTTTAATAATATAAATTAATTTGAATAATAATATAAAAAAAATACAAGCAGACCTCATAGAAAATTTAGTTTTGATTTTTTGAAAAGAAAATCTGTTGTATAAAACTTTATTTCTGTTTTTCATATTTTATTACCGCTTTTTATTTCTACTTTTTATTTATTCTATATACAATGTTTTAATTATTTATATATAAGGCTTATCTTATCAAAAAACTTGTCATTTTACATAACACATTTTTAATGTTTATCGCATTTACAAAAACAAAAACGAATAGTTTATTAGGTGTATAATTAAAATCTAAAAAAACATGATAAAAATTTATTTTTTTCGTAAAAAAAAAATACAACGTGAAAATTATTTAATACTATATAGATATATATACTATATATATATTTTTTTTGTATTTTAGCATAATTTTGCCACAAAAATGATAATTGCTTTGAAAATATCGAACCGTTGCCAAATTTTATAAATTTTTTATATATATTTTTATATTATTGTATATTAAATGTATTGCAAATGTTATTTCATTTTCTCTAATATTTATTTTTTTTTTGTTTCATATATTTCATTAATAATAATTTTTATTATAGGGCGGCAATAATGCTGGACACACTGTAGTTGCGAATGGAACAGAATTCGATTTCCATCTTTTGCCAAGTGGAATCGTAAACGAGAAATGTATTTCGGTAATAGGTGAGTTGAATGAAATTTACTTAAATATATTGTCGTCATTAGCAAAACTACTAAATACAAGTATCGTGTAATTAATAAAATTATTTCAAAGGCATCTGAACTATTTGTATATTTACTGCATCGACAGAAAAGTATATTGTATTACAAGTGCTCGTGCTTATTTTGCACTTATTTTTCCATAGAATCGTGATAAATTTATTTTGACTTCTTAGATTAGAATTTTTGATAAAAATAAAAAGCACACAATTAATATTCCACATGCCTTTGAAATGTTGAAAAGTCATTCTTTACAAAATCAAATGCTTTATTCTCTAAAAGATTACGAAGATATAACTGTTGCATATATATTTCAACTCTATTATATCTTCCATATACATAGTATGCTGTAGGGTATACACTCTTAGTTAAATATTGTTTTTTTGCAAAAAAGAAGACTTCGGACCCTACAATTTTTGGTTACTTTAGAAGCTTCACTTTTTGTGATGAGCATAGCAAAAACACATTTGAAATAAGTATGAGTAGATTTTACGATAGTATTTTCTTTTTGATACAGATCTTTACCTCAAAGGGCCTGAAAAATATACACGTATAATCTTCATCAGTTCAATGAAACGTACTACCTATATTTATATATATGTTTATTTGATACAAATCTTAACCTCAAAGAGCCTGTAAAATATATATGTACCTATAATTTTGCTCAGTTCAATGGAACGTATTATCTATTTCCATATATATGTTTATATGTTATTTGAAATAAGTATGAGTAGAATTTACGATAGTATTTTTTTCTAGATACAGATCTTTACCTTAAAGGGCCTGAAAAATATACACGTATAATCTTCATCAGTTCAATGAAACGTACTATCTATATTCATGTATCTATATTCTATATATATGTGAGTAGATTTTAGGATAGTGTTTTCACTTTGATACAGATCTCTAACTCAAAGATACTATAAAGTATACTCATATAATCTTCATCAATTCAATGAAACGTACTATCTATATACATATGTATATATGTTTCAATGCAGACTATGTAAAAACATTATCGTTGGCAGTATAAAAATATCGTATATGAATATATAAATATATTTGAGTCATAGTAATACTCTTACATATATACACTAAAATATATCAATAAAACCCGGAAACTAACATGCTCAAATATATGTGGATAATCTCTAGTGTTAGTTTTGGATAAAGGTAGCTTCTGATTCATTCTTGAAGAAAATCCCGTATTCATAACCCCGTATAATATAAACTATCAAAATACAGTGTACGCTCGAAAATGTGAATACTTTAAAACGTGTGAACAACCTTAATTCATCATTGAACAAGTCAATAAAGCTCTATAACATGAACAATAAACGTTACAATTTTTAAATGTAGTTTGCATTGATCTCGAATAATTCTGAACTTGTAGAATCCCCTAATACCAAATTATGCATTTGACTTGTGGATGCATGTAAAATACAAAATATATCAGTTGCAATTTTATCTTTAATGGAGTGTTTGATCTTTAGCGGTATAAATATGAGTACGATATATTATATATCTGTACTATTTTAAACTAACATAAATGATATACACCACTGTTTATCAACTTTAAAACTACTGCGGAACAAAAATATTTGATGTCTAGAATAAGAATCATTAAAATAATATTGAAGAACAGTGTCATTCGGATTACCAAATCGTCCCGTTCGTTTAGGTTAATGTAAATGAAACTTGATAGGAAAAAATCAATAGATGCCAAGAGAGAATATTCTAAGATTACAGCTTGTATAACTGGTCATTTACTATTTGTTTGACACACGGTTTTATACTGTGATTTTTTTTTATGAATATTGCAAAATTTGCGAACTTGATAAAGAAGAAGAAGCAGTGGAAAACCTTTTCTGCAGCTATCCAGCTCTATCCAAAAAAAGGGAACTACTTAGAAAATTATGTCTCACTTTTCTACTTGATTAGTGTCTCTAAAAAGTTTTATAATTACCTAACACTTAAAATCCCGTTTTAAGTAGTAATATCACAATAATGTGTATGGTCTAAGTGAGTTTGGCAATTTGACTGACTGCTACAGTATTCTTAACTTACCTAAAGAAGTTCTACAGTTTATTAGTAGAATAACTATTGTAAATGGTTTTATAACCATTATAACACTTAAAATCCCATGTAAAGTAGTGTTATCACAATGGACCCATAGGGTATAAATGATATCAAAAATTCAATGTGTTTTTCAAGGACCCATACTAATATCTTCCTAAAAAATATTATCATTAAAGTCGAAAACACAATATTTTATTTTACGGAGTGATGGTGGTCATGGCGCCACGGACGGGATATCTTTCCTGATAAACACCTGTTTAAATAGTTAGTTAGTGTAAATGATCTTAATCTTAAGTTTCATATTTTACAAAATATACACTTTTATAGATTTAACAACAGAATTCATACTTTAATGCGTTTAACTCTCTTTACAAGTCGTTTAACTCTTTTTATTCTAGTTGTAGTTGCATATAGAGTCAATACCTCCAACAATCTATCAATAATATAGAAGAGTACAAGAATGCTATTTAAATAAAAAATACTAAATACTATAATATTGTATTAATATAATAACCTAATTTTATGAAATATTTTTAGAATTACCTAGTTTTAAGTGCACTTTGATAATCTAAAATAAGTGGGTAATATTATATTATAATTTAATTAATTGCAATAAATTAAAAATGTAGTTTACTTAATAAATAAAATGAAGCCAAGTGCTATATTGTTTCAATGAAATGAATTTTACGATAAGATAGATACTGATTAATAGTCATAATCATTATTTAAATATGTACATAACTACAAAATGTTTTAATCAATATATTATTAAAATATTTATTTATTTTTTTTTTCGTAATACTAATCTAGGCACTTTGCCATATCAAGAATTTTTACGTTTTTTACCTCAGTCTTATAATATATAACGTTGATTATCTTAAAAAGTTTATTACTCTAAATATACTAACTTAATAATAATAATATTTAATAATATTAATAGTAATTGTTATATTATTGGGGAAAACATTTTTCAACCCATAAAATTGACTTTTACAATCCAATAATTGTAGACGGTCAATTAAACCATCAGATGTTTATATAGTTAAGACCGCTGATGATAGATATTTAGCAGTATCTAAAATTAATTCACCCCTTCAATTCTTTAAAAATGAAGTTTCTGCATAAAAAATTGCCATATTTAAATTTTCTATTAATGTTAAGAATAACGCGTATAAATTATATCGATCAAAAGTCTGGGTTTTGGTATTAAATCGCTCAGGTTCAGAACCGGTTCGCAGCGCTATTTAAATGACACAACGTAATATAATATGATGAGTATTTTTGACTTTTTTAAAATATCGGTACGAAATTTCATCCATTTATAACTAGAATATATCTATATCTGAATTCTTTACTTAGTTAAGAATTTCATTTTGACAGTATCATAACTTTACTCATAAATGGCGATAGCTGCAGACTTTGTCACGTAAAAGAGGAAATAGCAGAACTCATTATGTCACTTTAATAGTTTCGCTAGACTTAGACTTTGGCACTTATCATCTGCCTATCCACTTATAACGGAAATAGTCAACATCAATCCAAGGGACATAATGGTTTGTCACAATAATCCTTAAGAGTGCAGTGACGTGTTGGCATAGTTTCCAGCCTCTTCTTAAATCTAATCTAATCTAATCTTAACTTTACTAATTATGTTATAAATACTATAGATATTTTCGCAGTTATATACACTGATACCATGTCTATGTTATTATATTATAGCGATTTTTGGTAAAAAAAGGGTTGGACACAAAAGCAAAAAATTTTGTAAAATCAGTTTCAACTATTTTTTTTTTAATATATATATTGTTCTGTTCAGTAGCCTTTTCTAATAAAATAGACTAGAATATTCCTAATTAATGTGGGTTTTTTTTTATAATCTACATATATGAAGAATATCAGGTAATCATAGGAATGTTACTTATACTTGCTTTTTGTTCAGTGACCTTTTCTAATAAAATCGAATATAATATTCTTTTTACACGTGGGGTTTTATAATCGATATGAATTATAATAAGAATATCAGTAAATCATACACTTTTTTCTACTTCTGGCCTTTCCTAATAAAATAGACTATAATAGTATTCTTATGTGTGAGGTTTTGTGATCTACATAAATTATTATTATAACAAGAATATCAGTTAATCAATTATACACTTTTTTCTTCTGAATTATAATAAGAACCATACACTTTTTTCTTCTTCAGTGGCCTTTCCTAATAAAATGGACTATAATAGTATTTTCATATGTGGGTTTTTATAATCTACATGAATTATAATATGAATATCGGGCAATCATATATTTTTTTTCTTCAGTGGTATTTTTTAATACAATGACTATAAAAATCTTCTTATATGTGGGGTTTTATGATCTACATAAATTATAATGAGAATATCAAGTAATCATAACAATGTTACTTATATTTTGTTTTAGTTCAGTAGTTTTTCCTAATAAAATGGACTATAATGGTTTTTATATGTAGGGTCTATGTGTTTATAATCTACCTGAACTATAATAAGAATATCAGGTAATTATAGCAATAGGGCTCATTGGTATTTAAATTCATTCTTTGAGGTACGGTTTTTCGCCGAAACTTAACAAATTATGCGTTTGAGGTCATTAGAATAATTAATGTTCTGAAAATATCTCCAATTTATATTTAAATATGTAATTTCTTTTTGTTTATCTCTCTGATTTATTTTTTTTATATTTTTTTTTTTTCATTTATTAAGCATAAAATGTTAATCACGTGCATTCAATTCGCAACAAGGTTAAGCACGACAATAAAATGACAATAAAAGCTACCGGTTAAAATTGTTTAATCGATTTTACACTGCTGTCATCAAAGTCACAAATTTTATTTATTCGAAAATTTATTAAATTTATCA